GTTTTTTGGACATGAGAGGAACTCATAAAAAAGGATGTCACCACACATACAGAGCACTTGAGAGATGCCGACTAATAAAAAAAATAAATAAATAAAAAAGTGATTTTTCTTTTTGGATTTTTAATGGCATGCAAGGTGACACTGTATGTAGCATGTGGCTAACACTGGCAAACCTTTAGTCCATTTTCTTCCACAAGGAAAAGCCTTTTTCAATTTTTTTAAGGCAATTTGAAGAGAGAATTTGCCGAAACATGAATTTGCAACACAATTTGAAGTTTTTTTTGTACACATGTGCGTGTATGTTTATTAAAGCAGACAAACAGCAAAGAATACAAGCCAAAATGTAAAGCCAAAAGATAAGGACTACGATCGCCCTTTTTTTTTTTTTTAAAAAACAAACATTTTTTCGTTTTTAAAAGATTTATCATCACGTTTGAGAAAAATTTTAGATGCAAATATGTGCTCGAGCTGTCTATTTGGCTATAGCTTTATGTATGTTTTTAGAGATTCTGGTTTCCATGTTTTAAGTAGCTAACAGCAACAAAGCATATGTCTCCTAAACTTGTATTTAAAAACAAATGAAATTACAATTTGCATTTACTTTGTGACAATACAAATTGTAATTTCATTTGTTTTTAAATACAAGTTTAGGAGACATATGCTTTGTTGCTGTTAGCTACTTAAAACATGGAAACCAGAATCTCTAAAAACATACATAAAGCTATAGCCAAATAGACAGCTCGAGCACATATTTGCATCTAAAATTTTTCTCAAACGTGATGATAAATCTTTTAAAAACGAACATATGTTTGTTTTTTAAAAAATAAAAAAAGGGGGGTAGAAAGAAAACCAGTTCGCCAGAAACAAGTTGGAGTGACTACGGTTCGAGTCCAAGCGGATTATTAAAATATGTACAAAAAGATATCTTGCCAGATGCCACCAATTTTGAGGAGAAAAAATAAAAATTGCCGGCAACCGTATGAGATTGAGGGCCAATCAGATCAAGTCTCTAAATTAAAAAAAAGACAAAAAAAACCAACAAACCACGTATTTTTTGTTATCAAAGCCCTACTTGGTTTACTTCCACTGTTGCCCAAAAGAATCCTGATAAAATTCCTGGTTGTCGGATTTGTAACCGGAATAGTTACCAGAATGATCACCACCTTGAAGCGGTTGCTGAGCAATGGGTTGAGAGCCCCAGTTCTGATTATTGGTCTGGCGACGCTTGGAATCTGGCTGGTTGTACCCGTCAGCTTTGCGCTTTCCTCCTACATTTCCACCGCGGCCACCCCGAGCACCACGTACCCCTCCTCGCCCTCTTGGCTGCAGGCTGCCTCCTCTTGCTCCCCGCCCGCCGCGGCCTGGTCCGGGCCCGCCCCGCTGGGAGAAGTTGGCCCTCCCTCTGGGTGCACCGCCACCGCCTCCGGAGCCGCCGCGTCCTCTGGCCGGAGAGGATCCGCCCCGGGAACCCCGGTTACCGCCCCGTCCTCTGCTAGGGGCCTGGAAGTCGTCGTAGCCGTAGTAAGGGTCGTCGTAGCCGCCGCGGTAGTTGTGGTAGTCGTAGCCGTAGTAGTCGTAGTAGTCCTCGTACCCGTAGTAGTCGGGGGGGTAGGCGGCATAGCCTCCACGGTTGCCGCCTCTGCCACGGCCTCTGACCGGATGCGGCATGTGTGAGGGAGGAGAGTAGTAGTAATAGTCATCGTACCTGATGAGGGTGAAAGAAGGAAGGAATACAATTAATTAACAGTTTATAGTTTCAAATCATAACGTTGACATTAAGACCTTTGAATGCAGCTCAGCTTTTATACATTTGTCTATTTGACAAATGTATAAAAGTCTACTAATCGTAGCGTGAGATTCGGTGGAGGTTACGTGGGATTGTTTGACTCGATCCAAACATTTACAATAACGACAGAGCGGTTTCAAGTCCAAATGTCTTGATAAAATCAATTGATAAAATATGCTGCTTCAATCAATATTTGTTGGCGTTTATAGACTTTTAATTTAATTTTCAAAAGATGCTGCACACAAAAGGAGCCACCCACCTGTATCAACAGGTCGGTGTAACTTGTCACATTTATTTTGGCTACATATAGATATATAAATACATTTTGACTGACGGATTGATAATAGTTACATCATAAGCAGGAATCAACAAACAGATGTTTTCTTAAGTCTAGAGATGATGAGTAGGACACGACGTCTCTGAAGCACAGTATTCAATTTAAAATGGCATTTATTTAACAAATTGCCTTTCAATAAAACTTTTGATTAATTGTGCAGCCTAAGACGGAACCGACGAGTTAAATTAATTAACGAAAGAAATAAAAAAAGGACTTCTTAAATCATATTAATTCCTTTGAAAGTTTGGTTTACGGACTTTTTAATATTTTGTTTTGTGTCGACGCCATAGACGTTGGAAGCTTATGAATATAAAGGAACTCTGTGTTCGTCCTTCTTACATTACTGTTTTGGCCGCTTGTCTCTGAGCTTTGCGCTCCTTCCGTTTCTGATCGGGCGGTTTGGCAAAAACGATCTCGATGGGTTCTCCTTCCAGCTCCTTCCCGTTCATTTCCTCCAACGCCTGAGAGGAAAGAAGCAGCCAGTCAACGTTTGTTAACGTTTCTGCAAACGTCTTTTTTTTGGTTCAAACAACCAGTTATGTAAGATTGAAGCAGATCAACTCCCCCTACCTTCACTGCACCGTCCCTCTCCTCAAAGTGAATGAAGGCGTAGTCTTTGAGCTTCTTGACTCGCTCCAGCTTTCCAAACTCACTGAAGGACGTCTCCAGCAGCTCCTCTGTGACGCCATTGGCCAGATTCCTCACAAATAAAACCTTCACCTGCAGAAAACGGACAGAGGAGGAGGAGGTGAAAAACCCCTCACGTCAGCCTCTCCTCCAACGAGTCCTACACATGATAAGTTCTCACCTTGGACATGACTTCCGGGTCCGGGTCCTCGATGGGGTCGGCCCACTCCACCGTCACCACGTTGCCCCACACCTTCACCTTGCCGCTCATGAGCCGGCGGCGAGCCTGAGCGGCCGTTTTGTGGTCTTCGTACTCCAGGAAGCAGAAGCCCCGGTTCTTCTTCTTGTCGTCGGGTTGATGGTACAGTATGACGTCACTGAGGCCCTCTGACGGTAATAAAAAGACATTCCTTCATTTACAGATTGGTTTCTGAACTAAAACACAATGTCATGCATCTATACATTTAAAAAAGACGACATTGAGATATGTTTTACCTGTGACTTTAGCAAACTCTTCAACAATCTGCTCCTTTGTTTTACTCTTGGGAATGGAGCCAACGAATAGCCGGTTGTTGGCGACAGATATACAAACACCGATGTGTTTGCCGGGACGAATCTCATGATTATTGCACTATAAGAAAAAAACATAAAATAAAACATGTCGCTTCCAACTTTGCTCAGAGAACATTTCCCAAACAAACCTGACCCTTAACTCCCGACAGACAGGCACTAGCGTCCCGACAGACAGGCACTAGCGTCCCGACAGACAGGCACTAGCGTCCCGACAGACAGGCACTAGCGTCCCGACAGACAGACACTAGCGTCCCGACAGACAGACACTAGCGTCCCGAC